TGTGCCCAGAGCACCATATTTTCTTTACAATTTCATCTTCAGTATATATTTTTAGTAAGTATTTATATAGTTTAGAAATTGTTACTCCTTTTTTTGAATCGAATATTTCTTTTAATTCCGTTTTTACAACTTCTATTCTTGAATCTTTTATATCTCTTTTAAATCGTTCCTTCAATTGAAAATATGCAAACCAGTTGTTTACTTTACCTTCACTTTTCAATTCTTCTAAAGATTTTAAATCTAAAGTTTCTTGTTGAAATTTTATTATGTCTTCATACTTTAGCCATTTCTCTTTATCTTGTATTCTGCTTTTTAAAAAAGCTTCTTGTGGGATGCCCATACAGGAATATTTGAACTAAATAATTTCTTGTACCTGATCCAAACCTTAAACAACGATTTTCGTATTATATGATTATTGAAATCTCTATTTACTTTAATTTTGTCGTAGAACAGATACGCATGCCATCCAAATCTCAAATTTGTGCTTTCTAATTTCAACAAATCTTTATTTTCTAGATCCAACCAATCTTTTAACCATACTAAAACTGTTCATGGACTTTTTGAGCAATATGAAATCTAACAATAATCTGTGACTATGGCTATTAGTAATTTTAGTAGGATTATTTAGTTGGATCTGTAATGGCGGAATGCTGTTTTTTCTTTTCTTTTTCGTTTCATTACAGTCAGGAATGGGGGTGGGGTCAAAACGCCACTATGTATTAGTTGTATGTCTTTGTCTTTTTTTCTTTCTTTCTCTTTCCCCTCCTCCCCCCCTTTATTTTTGACTTTTCTTTCTGCTCCCCATCTGGATTCTTGTCTTTGACTATATATTATTTTGATGGTAAATTGGATTGCTTTTGTTAATAATTAATCTAAAAACACTTTTCAGCTCATTCACATTGGTTTGTTCCTTGTGTGTGCATGTTGAATATATTCAAACATTGCTTTCATGATAAGAAAGAATGAGGAATCTGAAGGAAGTGAGAAGCAAGACATGAACAGCTACGTCAGGGGTAGGCAACCTTTCCCCTTTAAGGGCCAAGGGACTTCAGCTCCCAGAATCCCAGGAGCTATTGGCCAACATGGGACTATTGGCCAACATGGCTGAGGCTTCTGGGAGCTGAAGTCCCTCGGCCCTTAAAGGGGAAAGGTTGCCTACCCCTGAGCTACGTTATACTGAAGAATTTACTACCATACTGCAGGACTACTATGTTGGTCAGGCCCCCAGGTTATATGTACCCAAATGCTCAAGTATTCTCCCCTGTTTGGTGATAATTTGAAAATACCTGTCCGATATCAAGGCATTTGAGTATTGCTTCTTTGGTAATCCAGTTGAACATAGAGAAAATGCTGTACAGTAATTGCTGTTTTTCAGTCTTGGATGTTAGAGATTTGTAGCAGTATTAATTCATTGAAACAACCTCATTTTAAGTTACCATTTTAAAAGATTTCACTTAACATTTTGAATAAAGAGCAATATTTCACAAGAGGTTTATTTATTTGCTCTCAACTTCCATCTGTTCAGTTTTTAACATCAGGGACAAATACCCATCACCCACCCACAGCCTTTCTGGTCCTCATGCTTCTTGTTGCCCAGCTTACACAGGCTCTTGGTTTAACAGGTGTATGTGACAGCTGAAAGCCGCTTCAACACATTGGCAGAGCTAGTTCACCATCACTCAACAGTAGCAGATGGCCTGGTGACAACCTTGCACTACCCAGCACCAAAGTGCAATAAACCCACCATCTATGGAGTATCTCCCATCCATGACAAGTGGGAGATGGAGCGAACAGACATCACCATGAAGCACAAACTTGGAGGAGGACAATATGGTGAGGTGTATGTTGGAGTATGGAAGAAATACAACCTCACAGTTGCTGTAAAAACACTCAAGGTATGTTTTGGTGTTCATAAGAAAATTCTACTTAAGATGGTGTTGAGGAAATGTAACCAACTGATTGGAATAACTTTCAGTATGCTGCTGTATTTGGAAGGCATGCCACCTACTTGGTGCCATAAATTTTAGACAGTTGTGGCTACAAAAAACCAAAATAAAAACAAAATACTTGTAGATGTTTAGTAGTGGCAACTTGTAAAAGATTACAAACTGAGGTTCTTTAACTGAATACAGAAGATGTGAGATTCCTACTAAAATTTCCTGAAATTCTTTTGCATTCTGTATTTCAGTCATTTTTTAGTTCTGTGATATGTTAGCCACCAAAAGTGTTCTGCTTATATACACACCTGTAGACCTGGAAGTGTTTATCCCATAATGTAAAGCCTAACTTGTTTAAATTCACCAAGGCTTTATGTAAGCAGTAAGAATCCATCTGAACACTGCAGAGAGCTTTTCCTTCTCAGACTGAGATGTGTATTGCTGCCTGGAAGACAGAGGTATAGATAGAATAGTAACAGTCACTTACCATCTGCTTGAGTGGTACGTCCTAATGGGGCTTCTGGTTATGATATGTTAAATAGCTTTAAAATAAATATCTATCTTAAAAAAGAATCAGTTTTCAGAATATCCCAGATAAATTGTAAAACATAAGATGCCACCCATGTTTCATGTGGCCACTGGGTAAAAATTGTGATTACCCTGGCATATGACACTAAAAAGCAACTTGTCAGTTAACTTCTTCCCTCCTGAAAACCATTGATGCATATTCTTCACCTATTTCAGGCTCTAATGCTCTATTTCTCATGCTTATTGTGAGTGATTGCAGTCAATTAAAGGGAACCTCCTTCCTAACTTTGAATACCAGTTGCTGGAGCAAAAATAGAATTATTACCTGTATGCTTGTGGGCTTCGTGGAGGTTTCTGGACAGCCACTGTTGGAAAATAGGATACTGGACTAGATTGACCTTTAGATCAATTGAGCTGCACATTTCTTATGACAGTGATGATGAGGTTTGGAACCTAATTTTTCCTGCATATGCAGTAACCTGTACTGGGAGGAAGGTGGGATAAGAATAATGATAACAACAACAGCCACCACCACCTCCTGGATATATACAGAAAAGCTGGATATATACAGTGATCTGGTTCTTCCCCCCAGTCCTTTGTAATAAAGTGCTCAGATTGACTTTCTTAAGTCTGATAAATCAAAAGAGATGAAATAGCAAAATATGCTCCTTTGGAATAGTCTGACAATTTTACTTTGCATTTCGAAATTACCCACATTACCCTGGTGGGTCAGGTTTGTGAAAAGTGGTCTGTGATCAAGAATTTTAATTATATATTTTCCTTTTTAACCAAGGAAAAAATGATAGTTCAGCATGCCTTCTTGTTGTTTTTATGTTATTTGCCATTAAGTCAGCTTTAACTTATAGGAGTCCAGCAAATGAAAGAGCCCTAAGAGCCCAATCATTAATATCCTTGCTTGGATGTTTCAAACCAGGACTACTGCTTCCTTGATTGAATCAGCCTATCTGCTTTTTTTCTTCTTCTTACTACTTTCTACTTTACCAAGCATTATTGTTTTTTTCTAATTAGTCATGTCTCATGAGATGACCAAAGTACAATAGCCTCAGTTGAATCATTCTGGCTTCTAGTGAGAATGCAGGCCTGATTTTTTCTAGTACACCTTTATTTGTCTATTTAGCACTCCATGGCATCTGTGAAACTTTCCTCCAGCACCATACTTCAAAAGATTTGATTTTTTTTCCTCGTCTGTGTTTTTCACTGTCCAGCTTTCACAAACACAGAAATCAGAATTGGTATGGCATGGATGATTCAAACTTTATATAATATATAATATGTATTGATAATGAAGCTACAGTTGTTTTGCTCAAATGCTGTTGGATACTACCCCCTCCCCCTTCACTGTGATTATTAAAAGGATTGCTGTCTTATATTATTTCCAGGAAGACACTATGGAGGTGGAAGAGTTCTTGAAAGAAGCTTCTGTTATGAAGGAAATCAAACATCCAAATTTAGTGCAGTTATTGGGTGAGTGCTTTCCTAACCACAAAGATTTTCTATTGCTTTCTTTTTCAAAGTTATACTTGTTAACAATAACCCAGTTATATTTAGAATTGCACTTCAAGAACAGTTGGATGTGGATTTTAATTTTGACTTACTTTGAATAAAGCTCTAAGTAAGCACAATATATATAGAGTCATTATGCTTCCTTGATTTGCTCCTTGAGCATGATTGGCCAGCCACACATTGGATAGTGGATTGGATTCAGATTTAGGTGGGTGTATGTGGGCTGCCTAAAACAGACTTCCCCATTTGATTTTTCCCATGACAGCTCTTCCAACCCCTTGAAAAACCTGATGAAGGTCTGGGTAGCCAGTAGAATGGGGTGAGCTGTTATGCAGGCAAAGAGAGGTATTCCCAGAAATCAGGTAGAGGCACTTCCTTTGAATGGGACCCTGCAACCCATTTATACAGAGCCAGTGAACCCAAAGCAAAATGCCCACGGACTCAAATTATGTAGTTGCTTCCTGGGATTTATGTGAACCAATGAACCAAAGGCTAGTGGTTCCCCAGGATTGTGATACCCCCTATGCCCTAGATCCTCTGTTTTAAAAATTAGGGAAACACCACAAACTTATAGGCTGTCATTCCCAGAGCAGCAGTTTACAATTGAATCCCCTGGATATTCCAGACCAGCCCAAAACTCACAGAGAAATTGGGAAACACAAACAAGATGGAAACTTCTGCTCACTTCTGGTTGGTTTTTGGTGGAATGTGGCCTGGCACAGGGGTGGAAATTGTGCTTTGCCACTCTTGCCCATCCCTGGCATAAAGACTGAATGAAGCCATAGGGACGTCAGAAACTCTTTTATGCTGGGCCAGAAACATTGTTTCCCTACTCTAGTGTTGTCTCTTATGACTGACAGAAGCTTTTCATGGCATTTGAAAAAAAAATATTGGATTTAAAAATATGATTACAAAGAAAAGAAACAGAAGAATGAAAGATGGGGGGAAAGAAGGGAATAAAAGGGAAAGTACATAGAATATAAATAAGGGCTAAGTATATAAACAGAGAGAGCCATTGTGGTGTAGGGGTTTGAACATTGGCCTGTGACTCTGGAGACCGTGGTTCAAATCCCGGCTTGGCTATGAAAACCTGCTGGGTGACCTTGGGCAAGTCACAATCTCTCAGCCTCAGGGAATGGGAAAGGCAAACTCCCTCTGAAGAAACTTGCCAAGAAAACTCCATAGGGTCACCATAAGTTGGAAACGACTTGAAGACGCACAACAACAAAAAATATAAACATAAGATGATCTTTCTAAAAGTACACTTTCTTGTTATTGACGTCTATAAAATACCCATCCCTGTAGTCTTCTGACTGTTGAATAATAGATGGAAAATGTTTATCTTTCCAACCTTGGAGTATAAGTATTTTTGCACTGGTTAATTTGCACAGGGCAATCTACCACTTAAATTCATTAACTTCAGATTTAGTGCTTTCCAACAAACATTAATGAACTAGATGTCATATCCAGAAGTTTATAGATCTGTCATTATAAGGGATATAAGGGAATGGGGATAAATAATATGGTGAAATAGTGCTATAGGGGAATAAAGAGAAATCAAAAAGGGAGGGGGTCGATAATCCAAATGGAATGCAAACGGGAACCAGATGGGCAATGGCCGGAGAGTGTGGCAGTTTATAGCTTTGTTTACTTCCTAAGGAAATACTTTGATGCCCAGCAAGACAACACCTTTCCTGTGATAGATGGATTGATACGGGAGACAGGGAAGTTGGAGGGAAAGCAGCACGTTTAAAGATATCTTTGATGTGTTTGAAAGTGCGCAGACTGCGGGCTGGGGAAAGGAGGAGCTGGGAGGGAACCCTTAAAGACTGAATGGTTTGGGGCGGAATCAGATTTGACACTACCAAGTCTCTGGCAAACTTCTGTCCAGAAATCTAAATAAAGCTTTAGTTAAACTACAGTATCATGCTGTCTTGGTTTCTGAGGTCTGCGTCCTCTAAACATGACACTAGAGATGTTGGTTTCAGTTTCACGCAGGATATAATTAATGTTTCCAACACAGCAGGGGGGGCTGAGACAGACAGCAGAAATAATAGGAGGCTCTTTAAAACAAAACAACAGAACATTAGGCAGACTATCAAAAAAAGAGGTTCTATGTAAGTTGATTCCAAAATAGCCCAAGGAGGAATATCTGAATTAGATCATATTTACCAATTATTTCTATGAATCAGGAGATATGCCTTATTATATAAACTGGATTTGGAAAATTAAAATCCACCTTCCTTTTGAGTGAAGAATGAAGTGGTAAAGTCCTCTATATAAATTTATTTAAAATGTATTGAATTTCTAAAAATATGCTTGAGGGATACCTTGACAAACATACAGTGAGATACTGTGAAGAACATAACTATCCATGGTAAAATGTTAATTTTGTTTGTATTAATCTTATTCTGGTTATTAATTTGAGTGGTTGCTAGCCACATACAGAGATACTTCAGCAAGCAATTTAGACAAACTCACTTTAATCATTTGAGTAATATCCCCAGGAACCGGTATGCCCAAATACCTATTTGCTTCTGGACACCAGCAAAACTGCCAATTGGCAAACAACCCAGAAAGAATATTAATCCCAACATATATAGCCTCAAATATAGACCAGTTAACAGAATAGCAGAAAGAGGACCAAAGTTATTAATTAGTATTATCAACTCTTTAAGGAAGATTCTGGTCTAGGAATAAACAACAAAAGATCATCAACATACTAAACTGCTTTATATCCATATTTTTTCATGTATAAACCCAGAAATTGCTAGATTTTGCATAGCTGCATATTCTAAAAATGCAAAACCTAGGTCAGATATAAGAGGAGAGAAAATACCTCTGTCGTGTTCTCCTCCCTGTATTAATCTTTTCCACATCTGCCTCAAGTTGAGTTTTATTGTTGTGACAATGAGAGCTAGGTCGTTGTAGTTGTTACTTCAGAAATGTGGCATGTAGCTTTCCAAATGGTGCTGAACTGCAGCTCCCACCATCACTATACTTGTTAGGGCTGCTGGGATATTCAGTCCAACATTTGGAGGAGCACATGTTTCTTATCCCTGGGTACTGGTATACTCTATAAATCAAGAAACCTCCAATTCAGATTTAATTTCTGCCAAATAGGAAAGCTACTGTTTCCTGTTAGCCCTACTTCTGTGCTATGAATATAATACTTACTTTTTTAAAACAAGAAATGTTCTTGTGTGAATTGTTGATAATGTGCAAAATTGTCTGAATGTCCTGAAGTGCAAAATATAATAATAAAACGGTGCTCTTCATCTAAGTTCTATACTGTTTTGATAAATTTTACTAATTTTTGTGTTGGATATAAGTTTTATCTCGTAAGCAGTAGAACAATTTATTTTCATGTAATTTGATTTAGCATAAAGTGTTGAACTTTTTGAAACCAGTGGTCATAGAGTTCATCATGAACAGTGCCCAATAGCAGGAGAGGAAGGGCAACCCAAAGGACCTTTTTTATTTTTCATTTTGATCCTGAGCTGGAGGCATTTTTGACCACGGTGTAGAAAAGCTTCTGTGAGCATCTTAACAGTTCCATAGTCTTGAGTGAAGAAGTATTTGATTTTGGGCAAAGCTTCCATGCTTCTCTGTCTGCCCAGCTTAGAAACACTTAAAACACTGTTCTCCTTTCATTTCCTTGGTTATTATGATGTTGGACATCTTGGGCAGATCAGCAGTGCCTATTTGGAAATTCTTCTCTGTGCCACTGGAGAGATAGGAAGAACGTTTCTTAAAAACAAGAGAGAGAGCTCACATATTTTCCCCACCTTCTTTTAATGACATGTTTTTGAGAATCTCTGCTTGGATTGCCTTCAAAAATTGTACTTTCAATAGGAATTAAATCTTAATAAACTGTTCCATTGTCCTGCCAGGTGTGTGCACTCTGGAGCCCCCCTTTTACATAGTGACAGAATACATGCCCTATGGGAACTTGCTGGATTACCTGCGTGAGTGCAATCGAGAGGAGGTGACCGCTGTTGTCCTTCTATATATGGCTACTCAGATATCTTCTGCTATGGAATACCTGGAGAAGAAGAACTTCATCCACAGGTCAGCAGATTACCTTGATTTTTGTAGTGTGGAAAAGTTTTTTTAACAGGAAAAAAGCTTCCAGTCTTGCTGTGGGGTTCTGGAAATTGAAGTCCATAAGTAACCTTTGATCTCTTTGTATTTATATATGTGTGTATGGTGCATTGTGTTTTCCTGAAGGTAAACTCTTTGTGAGACAGGATTTGCTTACAGACATTTAAGAAGAGACTTTGAAAATTATTCTGTACTTGATAAAATCACAGTGGAATTGCCTCACTGGCATAGCTTTCTGCCAGCTGAAGATAGATCTGCAATGGGAGCTGGAGCCAGTTTTCACAAAAGTTGGGTTCTGGGCCCATGGACTAAGCTTCACCATGCCTGCTTTAAAAAGCACAAAAAAAGGAAAAAGTAAAGTGCAGATCTAGCACAGCTCAAATTCTATACTATGGTTCTCCAATCCTGGTTTATGCTTTCAAAATAAGATACACAAATCATTAATATTGAGTCAGTGCATGTATCCTTTTCTTCAATGTGAGTGACAAGGGTATGGATAGATGAGAGCATAGTAGACATATTTAAGCTACCTTACTAGATAAGGGTGGGCTGGTGAGTATGAGAGAGAAATAATGATACTAGGCAACATAGCTGTGTCTTTGAAGCACACTGTAGCGTTGTTCAGCTACTGCTTGTCTCCAAAACCTATTTCCTGCAGCCAGAGACACTAAATCATATGTATGTGTGCATCACAGGGGTAGGCAACCTTTCCCTTTAAGGGCCAAGGGACTTCAGCTCCCAGAAGCCTCAGCCATGTTGGCCAATAGTCCCATGTTGGCCAATAGCTCCTGGGATTCTGGGAGCTGAAGTCCCTCGGCCCTTAAAGGGGAAAGGTTGCCTACCCCTGAATGGGTCCCCAGTATGATCTCAATGCCACACAGTGGCCAGGTTTACACATAACAAGAAATGTGGCTTCTGTAATATTCTCACTTGTCAGGGATTAATGTGCATGCTGGCTCCAGCTTTCTGGTCGTCCCTGCTTGCATCAGGAGCAGTTAACAAACCATGGACCCTTTGTTTGTGTATGTAGCTCATGATGTCCAAGCACACCAGCTCTCTAATGTATTGGTCTGTTGCTGTGTTGTATTGTCATGAGAAGTAACCTGTGGAACAAAGTCTGTGGTTTAGAATCATAGAGTGGGAAGAGATCAAAAAGGTCATCCAGTCCTTTCTTTCACTTCTGGAAGTAAAAATGTTCAGAAAGTGGAAGCCAGCATAGTAGCTCATCCACAGTAAAATGGGGTTCTGATAGATCAAAAATGCAATGAAATTGATTAAAGTAACCCATTTATCTGTAGAAAATTTGGGGATAAGAGACATTCAATTTCAAAAGTACTGAGAATAATACTAACAGTATTACACACACACACACACAAACAAAATATATATGCTTTGAAAGGCATTTTTGGATTCATTAAGACTAGACTCTGCCCCTCCAGGTTTTTGGACTTCAACTCCCAGATGCCCCAGATAGCTTAACCAACAGGAATTCTGGGAGTTGAGGTCCAACACATCAGGAGGAACAAAGTTTGGGAGCCACCAATTTAGACAATAATTTTTCAAGTTCTCTACCATTATTTTAAACATATTCAGTATTTGAATGGAGTGTGAGCAACATACATGTTGATGGATGTGGAAAGAAGAAAGATGCAGCAGTTCAATAGCAAAGCTTTAAGGATAGTACCGGTATTACAGATTGAGCCTTCCAGCCAGCAAATAGGTTTTGGGATCTGTACATGTCTCAAAAGTCCCAGGTTGGGGGAGGAGGTGAGCTAACAACTGATGTACTGAAATCTAAATTCCAGCTGGTATAAGTTTAAGGTGGAGGGACAGATTCTTTAAAGAATGCAACAGCAGCATCTTGTGGATAAGCAGTTAATTGCAGTTAAAGAAAAAATACTGTAGCAACTATCAAAATGATCTTTATGAATTCATAACAAACATTTGAGATTATGGATATCAGACAGATGATTCACTG